TCCTTGGACATCAGTCACTGAAGGTAAGTATGTAGGTGCAGTAGGCAATAAAGAAGGCAAATGGTTTGTTAGCCCTCATAGTGACAGGATTTGAGTACAGGAGCAGGGATGCTTGCTGCAATTGTACAGGGCCTTGGTGAGACCACACCTTTAATAGAGTGTGCAGTTTTGATCTCCTTATCTGAGGAAGGATGTCCTTGCTACGGAGAGAGTGAATTGAAGGTTTACCAGACTGATTCCCAGGATGGCAGAACTGTCGTATGAGGAAAGGTTGAATTGGTGAGGATTATATTCACTGGAATTCAGAAGAATGAGGGGGCATATCATATAAACCTGTAAATTTCTAACAAGACTAGACAGAGTTGATGCAGGAAGAATATTCCCAATAACGAGGGAGCTCAGAACCAGGAGTCACAGTTTAAGGATATAGGGAAAACCATTTAAAACTGAAATGAGGAGAACTTTCTTTACCCAGATAGTGGTCAGCCTATGGAAGTCGCTACTACAGAAAGCGGTTAAGGCCAAACATTGCATGATTTCAAGAAGGAGTTGAATACAGCACTTGGGGCTAAAGAGATCAAAGGAAATGGGGGAAAGTGGGAATAGATTTGAGTTGGATGAACAGTCATGATCATAATAAATGGCAGAGCAGGCTTGAGGGCCCGAATAGCCTACTTCTCCTAGTTTCTATGTTTCTGATTCATTGTGCTGTTCAGCCTACATCAAAGTCAAAATGTTCCATTTGCCAAAGTTGACTGCATTCCTGTTAATGCCTTTGATAATGTGTTTAAAGATGATACAGTACACATTACATGGTGATACAGTGATCCATAATTAATGCATTTGGGTAGTTAATCTTAACCAGAGGAGAACCAGTCACCTCATGTTCTGGCTCTAGAATGTTTGTCAGTAACTCACTGTGTTTGCAGATTACATTAGAGCAGGATTGAGCAACGGGGGCACCTCACAAAGTTAAACAGCCTCTTGGATGATATCAGAAAAATTACCACCTAAGTGATCCCAATGAAATTCATGGTCCTGTCCTTCAGCATGAACAGGACCCTCACAGGAGAGGCAGAATATTGCAGAGGAGTTTCCGGTTTCCTTGCTCCCTTTGAATCCACAATCAGAACTCAACTCAAATCCAGAATCGGACCCAGACCCACACCCAGATCCAGATCCAGATCCGGACCAAACTCAAACCCAGACGGGAGCTGAATTAATCCCAGATCAAGATTCAGGTGCAAGTTCAGAAACAGGCTCAAACTCAGAACCAGACTGAGACTGACCTCCAATATCACTCACATTGACAATATACTATTACAGGGTTGACTTTAATTAACATTATAATCAAAGTAGGCTGGGCCAGAAATGACACATCAGCAAAGTTGACATTCATGCTGTTCCTACAAGCTGCACTGGTTGATGTGGATTCAGACAGTCACAGAGAAGGGTATCTGGTATAGTCCAGTGTTGTGGACAGATTAGTGATAGAACTAATCTCATGATCTGCTCTGGGCGAATGAAGAATATCTTGCATTCTTGTGACACTGATTTAAAACACGCAGTGCCATATTTCTAGTCAGCCTTGGGATTCCACATGCTCTGCTCAAATTTGGCCCATTTCCATGGTCCTTACTGCTTTAGATTTCTGCTTCCTCTGACAACCTTCCCATGTCTCATTGGCTTCTTGGATAATTCCTTTCCTTTGGTGGCTTTGTCACCTTGGTCCAATTTTCCAGCATTCCCCATCTCTGCCACCTCTCTGTCCTCCAGTAAGTCATTCATTAAAACCCCTCTTTAATTATTCTTTTGATCCACTTGATCTCTTCTTTCTCTCTGTGTCCATTTCACTCAGGTCTCTTTCCCCCACAATAAAGGCACTATACAATGCAAGCTATTTCTTTACTAAAGTATGGAGTCTGACAGGGGATAATCAATGTTTATCTTTTGTGGTGCTTTATCAGACTATCTCAATGACCGTGTTTACAGCTTTCCAGTTGCAGTTGTTCATTCAGAAGACATCATTCAAATGCCAGAAATCTTGCAATGACAACCTTTTAACCTTCTGTGTCGTTTATTAAACCTGTAAGGAAAGATGTTTGGTGGTGCAATCATTAATGTTCCTACTTTATGACCTGAGAGCTCTGGGTTTGAGTCATATGCCAGTACTTGATGGTTAAGGGAGATAACATTGTAATGTGGCTGAACAGGTTGGTTATCAATCTGCAAACCCTTTTCATATGCCTCTGGTAGGTAGAACAGAGGAAGCTTAGATTAAAATCAGAGGAAGACAGAGTGGGAGGCTGATATTGATAAATTAGAGCACTGATTACTTGGGCAGAATGGTCTGTCCATGTGGTGAAAGTACACTGTAATTAATCCTAACACCCAGCTTGCTCACTTATGACTCAGCCTCTCTCTCTTAGTCAGAGCACAGAGCTTTTGACTAACTTCAAAAGGAAAATGAATACATTTTCTTCATTTGCATCATTTTTCACATCACTTTTATTAGTCCATGTGTATGGGAAGCTTTTGAAAAATAATTTAATGCACTGTAATGAGTTTGCTTTATTTTCTCCCTTTTGTTGAATCCTATGCCTAGTCTTAGAATCAGAGCTTTCTGGATTTAAATATATAACCTTTTTGTTTCTTAAGGTCTGAGGGTTTATCTAATTGAGGGGTTTAAAATTTATGTAGGGATTTAAGAGGACAAACATGAATAGCCTTGAGGGGTGTCATTTCTCACTTGATTAAATTTGGTCAAGTTTTATTTATTTAAAATGGTAGAAACAGCCAGATAATTTCCTCTGGAGGCATTTCTAGCCATCAATGCCTACATTCTCATGATTGAGTGAAGAAAAGTCCAAATTAGAGCTGGCATATTTAAACTTTAAAAGAATCATTCAGAAAGTATGGCTATGCCTGGCTATGATAATGTGTCCATCTCTAATTACCCTTGAAAAGATGGTGAGCTACCTTCTTGGACCCACTGCAGTCCATGTAGCGTAAGTAAACTTAATGCTGTTGGAGAAGAGTGTTCCAGATCTATGACCCAACAACAGCGAAGGAATGATGATATTCTTCCAAGTCAGCTTGGTGTAGAGGGGAAAACTTGCTGAGGACACCATTCCCATCAATCTACTGCTCATATCTTGTAGGTGGTAGAGGCTGTGGGATTGAAAGTTGCTGTCCAAGGACCTCTATGTTGCTGCAGCACATGTCACAGATGGTACATATTTCTGCTGCTGAGAGTTGGGGGTGAATACTGAAATGGTAGGATGTGGTGCCAATCAAGTGGGTTGCATTGACCTGGATGGTATTGAGCTTCTGGAGTGCTGTTGGAACTAGTTATCCAGACAAGTGAGGAGTATTCCATTACATTCTTGTGCCTTGTTGATGCTGGGGAGGAAGGAGGCGAGTTACTTGCAGCTTCTGACCTGTTCTTGTATCCATAGCATTCGGTTATGTTTGACCTGACGCCATGAGACTTTGGAGACAGTATCTCCTTACTGAGCCACACACTATTTATGCAAAGAGTGGAGGAAATCTGAAAATCTCTTTTGCTGTCAAAAGGCTATGGATTCATTGGAACTTTGGAGCCACGGGTGACGTAACTGTGCTACGTGAAGATATTAGGGGGATATGGAGGAAAAGTAAGTCACTCGAGTTAAGGTGGAGGTCAACCACGATTACATTGAAGGGTGGAATAGTTAGAGGGGCTGAATGGTTGCCTTCTATTACTACTTCTATCACTTTTGACACTGCACACAAAAGGGCCCCCTTAAAAGTGTGCCATCACCACCCTAACACATGAATCATAGAATCCCTACAGTGCAGATAAAGGCCATTCAACCCATCACATCTGTGTCAACTCACCAGAGCATCCCACCCAGACGAGTCCCCCAACATTCCTGTATTAACTGTTAACCTACACATCCCTGGACACTATGGGCAATTTAGCATAGCCAATCCACCCTAACCTGGACATCTTTGGACTATAGGAGGAAACTGGAGCACTTGGCAGAAACCCACACAAAAATGGGGCGACTATGCAAACTCCACAGTCACCTGAAGCTGGAATCAAACCTGGGTCCCTGGCACTGTAAGACAGCAGTGCTAACCACTGAGCTACCCAAGACATTTTTAAAAAAAAAAAATCTCAAAATTGTGCACGTGAAGTTTTCCTTTATCTGGTTGATCTGTGAATTACTAGTTGACTCTTAGTATATGTGACTGAACCCTGCTCTTAAGTTGGCAAGTACTGCTGTCAGAGGGACAAGGCAGGCTGTATGGAGAATGGCAACATCAGCAAGGTATAACTGTACACCTGTGTTCTTTCCCTAAAAAGATGAAACAGTTTAAAAACAAACATCCTTCACACTGACCCAAAACACTTCACAGCCACTTGAGCACTTGCTGCTGTAGTAATGTGGGAACAACAGAACCTTAAAGACTGGGACCTCCCCTCAGACCAAAATGTAGATAAACTTGCTTCAGTGCTGTTGATTGGAGGAATAGTTATTCACCAGGACAACGAGGGGGATAAAAACCTCTCCTGCTGTTCTTTGAAGTACTGCCAAGGAATCCTTCCACACACACCCAAGAGGGCATTTAAGCCTGGATTCAACACCTCATCTAAAAGACATCACCTCTGCCAGTGCCACAGTCTGGATTTTGTATGCACGTCTCTAGAGCAAATCCAAAATCCACAAGAGGCAGATCCCTCAAGAGAAAGTACTAACCACACACTCATAGCTGATACCTGTGCTCCATGTGACATGGGATTGTTTGAATGTTGCCATCTTTCAGGAGCTGCACTGAAATCATGGGGCAGTTTTAGAAAGACCAAGCTTAGGGCTTCCCTGGTGCTCAAACTGATGAACCTTTCCATCGCCCCAACACCCAGATTTGAAATGTGAGGAAGTTCCATAAGAAACCAGCAGCTAGCAAGGTGGTGCTTTGAGCTGGAGAAAGCAATAAATACACAGACTCCATTGTATTTTTCCCTCTGTATAATTTTATTTTCTGTTCATATTACACACAAAAATGGCAAAAACCAGTTAGAAGAGGGCAAATAGCATGATTTTTGACCCAATTTCAATCGCGATCCCAACACACCAAAGCATTGGATGCAATTATTAGAACAGTCTGTAAAAGTGGAGAAATGGTCACCAGTTCAATGGGTCTTCCACCCCAGAGTCAAGCTCATGTACATGAAAGGCTTCAGCTAGTTGGACTGTGTATTGGACTTTTAAAACTTGCATTATATTAATGAGATTCTCAGTTTAAAATGGATCTTGAAGCTTTTTGTTGCTGCATTTGGAACTGTGAGCCCCTCCACAGAACTAGGTGGTCACGCTGCAACAAGGCATGCATGAGAGTTCACATGTAATTGGACACTAAAACAAGGCAGGATGGCATTGGCTGTATGTAATGCCCTCTTTCCAACAGTCTGCTCAAATCAACCTCTCTAGAACCAAATCTCCCCTGTGTCGCAGTACAGAACAGAACCCCTTGTGATGCCCCCCACAATTCACCTCACACCACAAACACATTCTTCCATTCCTCTCTCCCTTATGTTATCCAAAGACGTTACACCAAAAATTCTACCTGCTCTGCATGCCAGCCCAGCTACAGCCACTGTGCCAGCCCCTTCGTGCTCATGGGCTTTTGCCCTTCTCTTCACACAAGTGGCCCAGGCTAAGTGCCAGTACACCAAATCCCAGGGCATGGGGAGGACAGAGCAGGCCATGTCCTCAGCCAAGGGCACAAAGTGAAATTTAGGGATATTTGAGAAGGGAACACCAGCTACAGATATCACAACAGTCAAATAAAGTGTTGGGTAACTGAGCATGTACCCCCAGTATGTCATGGGAACACTGCCACACACAATGCAAGGAGGGGCCACCCAAATGCCAGTAGAGGCTTGTGATCTGTTATTCTCGGGTTTCCATCTAAACTGCTCCTACACTACAGTACAGATTTTGATTTTAGTGTTTTTATTCTGAGCACAATGTCTGAGGTGAAACAACAGATTGGCAAAATGGGGGAACATCCTCAAAATATTCAGGACTTTTTCCCAGTACCATGTACCATCTCCTCTAGTCAAGTTATGCATTTTTTAAACATTATCCTTACATATGTAAGAATAAGATTGTAATAAGGTGATTTTAATTTTCCAAACATTAATACCTTGGTATTCCTGGTCAAAGGGTTAGATAGTGAAGAATTTGTCAAATGTGTGTTCAAGAAAATTTTCTTTATCAATATGCAAAACGTTCCTACTACAGGAGGAGCAAAGCTTGATCACCTCTTGGGTAATAAGACAAGGCAAGTGAAGTGATAGTAGGGAAACACTTTGGGTCTAGTGATCATAATTCTGTTTGCTTTATGTTAATTATAGAAAAGGATAAGCCTTCCATAAAAGGTAAGTTTTTTTTTTTAAAAAACTGGAGTGAGGCAAATTTAGAACAATGAGACGTGAACTTTCAAAAATTGATTGGAGTAGACTGTTTGCAGGTAAAGGGACATCTGATAAGTGAAAGGCTTTTCAAGTGTGATAAAGGAGTTGAATTATTATGATACTATTAGAGTGAAAAGGCAAGGCTGATAGTATTAGGGAACAATGGATAAATAAAAGAAGGTACAGGTTCTAGTCAAGAATCAAAAAAAAAAAATCATATAGACAACTGGGTTCAAATTAATCTCAAGCAGTAAGAGTATAGGGGCATTCTTAAGGAGGGAGATCAGAAAGGCAAAGAGGAAATATCAGATATCCTTAACTTTATCTGCCAAGGCTAATCCAAAATAAAGAGATTCTACAAGTACGTTAAGAGCAAGAGCGAAACTACACAGAGTTGGGCCCCTGAGGAGATGGGAGCAGTATTAAATATTTTGCATCAGCTTTTACAATGGAAAAAGAAGTGGAGGCTAGAGAACTCAAATATTGATGTTTTGAAAACAGTTCACATTACAGAAGAGGAAGTGCTGGAGGCCTTAAAAATATAAATGGTGGTTATATCTCCAGGATCTGATCTAGTGTATCCCAGGATGTTGTGGGAAGTTAGGGAATTGCAGGGCCCCTTGCAGAAATATTTGTATCATCTGTAACTACAGGTGAGGTGCCAGATGACTGACGAGTGGCTAATGTTGTGCCTTTGTTTAAGGAGGGATGTAAAGGAGAAGCCTGGGAACTGTAGCCCTGAGAGTTTGGGGTAAGTTGTTGGTGATTCTGATAGATAGGATTTATTTGCATTTGGAGATGCAAGTGAGTAGGGATAGTCAACATGGTTTTGTGTGAGGGAAATAGTGTGTCTCAAACTTGATTGGAGTTTTTTTTGAGGAAGTAACCAAGAAGGTTGATGAGGACAGAACAGTAGACATTATTTACTTGGACTTTAGTAAAGCCTTTGACAAGGTTTTGCATAGTAGACTAATTAGTAAAGTTAGATCACATGGGATTCAGGGTGAGCTTGCCAATTGGATACAAAATTGGATTAACAGCAGGAGACAGATGTTGAGGGTTGTTTTTCAGGCTGGAGGCTTGTTACCAGCAGTGTGCCACAGGGAACAGTGCTGGATCCACTTTTGTCATTTTATAAAACATTTAGATGAGAATATAGAAGGCACGGTTAGTAAGTTTGCAGAGGACATCAAAATTGGCAGTATAGTGGACAATGAAGAAAGGTATCTAAGATTACAAAGAGATCTTGATCAATTGGGTCATTGGACTGAACAGCAGCAGATGGAGTTTAATTTAGATAAATGCATTTTGGTAAAATAAACAGGGGCAGGACTTGTACAATCAAAGTAGGGCCTTGGGTAGTGGTGTAGAACAGAGATTCCTAGGAGTTCAGGTACATAATTTTTTGAAGTTTGCATCACATGTTGACAGGGTGGTTAAAGAGGCGTTTAGCACACTCATTCATTGCTCAGACCTTTAAGCATTGGAATTGGCACATCATGTTGAAGTTGTACAGGACGTTAGAGTCCTGTGTCCAGTTCTGGTCACCCTGTTATAGGCTAGATATTGAGCTGGAGAGGGTTCAAAATAAGCTTACCAGGATGCTGCTGGGAACAGAAGGTTTGAGTTATAAAAGGAGGCTGGGACTTTTTCTTTCCTCCACTGGAGTGCAAGAGGTTACAGGGTCACCTTAGGGGGTTCAAGGTCTTGAGGGGATTACAGACAAGATGAATGGCAGGTGTCTTTTCCCTAGGTGGGGGATTTTAAGACTTATGGCATATTTTAAGGAGAAGGGAAAAAGATTTTTTTTAAAAAAAGACATGAGGGGCAATTTAAAAAAAAAAACAACTGTGGTTTGGGTGTGGAACGAGCTTCCAGAAATGATGGATCTGGGCACAAGAAATGTTTGGAGGGATATGGGCCATGCGCAGGCAGATAGGACTAGTTTAGTTTGGGAATTATGGTTGGCATGGACAGTTGGACCGAAGGGTCTGTTACCATGCTGTATGACCTTATTTGTTCTGGCTCTCTAAAGCCTGCCCACTGTCTGCAAAGGCACTAGTCAGGAGTCTGGTGCAATACTCCACACTGCTGGAGCGGCACTCTTTTTTTCAGGCAGTCATTCAAGCAGCTTAAGGCTGTCCAGGACAAAAAGCAGTCCTGGACAGGCAGGCACCACACCCACTTTCAACATTCACCCCTCACCATTGATGCATTGTGGCAATGTGTACCATCTACACTGCAGCAACAAACTACGCTTCTCTAAGACAACAAACCTCCCAAACCCATGGACTACCACCATCTAGAAGGACAGGTGCACCAAATACATGGGAACACCACCACCTCCAAGTTTCCTCCAGGCCACACACCATTCTGACTTGGAAATCTAACACCATTCCTTCTGGGTCAAAATGCTGGAACTACCTACAGCAAGGGTATGTAATGAAAGGGTAATAAATACTTAGCTGGCAAGTAACATTCACACTCTAGGAACAAAAAGGCCTTCATAATCCTTTTAACAAAATACACCTCCATTTCTTCAATTTCTGTAAGCCAGGTTGAGCTATAGGATACGTTGTTACAAAACACTAAAAACAGCATGCAAAATTCCCATCATTATGAAAAGAATGGGCCAGTGGCTGGATGGAGAGACTACATGCCTGTGCAATACAGTACCATTGTAAATGGAACTAAACACAATCAGGAGGAAAAACAAAGGTGTTTCTATTTCTGCATTTAAAGCAGCCCACAAGGAAGAAAGGAATAGAAGGAAGACTACATCAGTGGGACAAGATGTAGGAAGCAACTTACATGGACTAGTTAGGGATAACAACCTGTGTCTGCACTGCTCCTAAAAATCAAGGAGAGGTCTACCTCACAGCACACACCCCTTCAGATTCTCAGCTGACGAATTGCAATTTAATAACAAACAGCATAATTTTCAGACAGTTTGCAGGATATGGTCAGAACTAGCACAGAAAATAAACCAACTCCTTCTGCTGTCCTAATGCTGGTGTGCCATAAGGATCAGAATTGTCTCGAGCAGCAGTAATCAGATCACAGAGCCCTGAAGTGTTGCTGACTGTTCCACAAGGACAGGACCAGCTTCTTCAACCCCACTTTGTTGAATTTGGCCTAACTGGCCATCGGCAGCCTTCGCTTTCTTGAGGGAAATGCGGACACTCCCAAGCCCCTTCACACTTCTCTAGTAAACTTGCCAAAGCCTCACCCTGATTCTGTCTACCACCTCGTCCAAGAGTTCTGGTGGCACAGCTCCTGCCCTGGGGCACCTCTACCATCACTGCCACCTGTAAGGCATTGGGCAGCATAGAAGCTAGGCCCGAAAGAAAGAGTTCTCAAAGTGGCAATTCTTGCCTTTCAGTCAGTTGAAAGGATTTGTAACACTGCTTTTCAAAGTATCATTAAAAAAAAATTCCTGCTACTTGCAGTTCCCCAAAATATCCCAAACCTTTCGGTGGAACAGAAAATAAAATGAAGGTTTTCAGATCACATTGATTAGTTCAAGAATCAATGGAATTCTTGAGCAACTCCTTCTTAAAGGATGGAGGACCTGTGCTGCAAGAAAGACTTGTGAAGAGTGGCAACATTTGGAAGTAAAAGTGAATGTCTGGCAATAAGACTTGTTGCAATTACCTCTGTTGCATCTGTGGCAGGAGATACAGTTCCAAGACACGGCAGTCTAAAAACTACATCCTAATCACACAATTTAGTTCAGCAAGTCATCAAAATTTGCTGCTTCCTTACTGAATTACAAGCTCTTTCAGGTTTTAGACGAGAAAGAACAAAAAAGGGCTCATATGAAATCAAAGCCCACAGGATTGCCCAACAACAACAACAACAACTTGCCACAAGAATTAAGTCCAGTGCAATGATCCAAGTTTGTTTCACTCAAGCGGACAGGTATGTTCAAACCCCCATCTTGCATACAGCACCACAGATTAAACTCCTTTTGCTGCATTGCCTCCACTCCCAATTCCTGCGCAACGTTCGGTCAGACCACAGTTTATTAGTGGACTAACACCACACTCCTATTCTCTGCATCCATACAACCCAACCTAGAAGTCTAGGCATTAGCAGCAGCAAGATGACAGGGGAAAACAAAGTTAAATTTATTTTTAGCCCGTTAAAATTGGCAAGGGACGATACTATAGATACACCGTGGATCTGTACAAGAGCATAGCTGACCAGTTTCATATCAGTGTTTGTAAACAGTGTTTTCCTAAGATTAAAAAGCGAGACCTCTATAAAGTGGGGACAATTCTCTTTGCAATTAAAATGCATTCTGCAGTTAGCCAAGAGAGAAACCTGCCAACCTGTCACCAACATGATTTGTTCTATCGAGCATTGGTAGAGGACAGAGAGACAGACAGAGCACAAGAGAGCACGAGCGACAAACACCGTGTGCACGCACGAGCAAGTGCGAAAGCAATAAAACATTTCTTGAAATAAGAAATTGGTGGCAGCATAGTGGTGCCTATTTAAGCACTGCTACAAACTGGTGCATAATCTACTGGAATTTTTAACTTCCAACCTCCTCTCATTAATTTTGAAATCTAATGTCAGTGAAGCCATATAGGCTTTAGCTATTCTTGTACAGGGCTGACAGCCCTTAAGTCAGTTTCTCTACAACATTAACCCTGGCAGTTAATGGAGGCTGAAGGAGTCAGAACTCAAACCAAGGTTTGTTAAAAGGCTGTACAACAGCAGGAAGGGGAATAAGGGGCTGAAGGTTCTCTCTCTTTACATTACCCCTCCCCATGAGGAAAAAGATCCCAGCAGGTTCTGAATGTAAAACTTGCTTCCGATTAAGTGCTGGCATTAACTGGTTATTTGAGATCACTAAACTGTTCAAGGGGTGTGGTTTATTTTAACCAAGCCAAGTTCACTAGCTGTGTTCAGGTGAGTTGGAGGGGGTGGGGATGGAGAGAAGAAAGAGGAAGAAGGAAGCTGGTGGCAGGGGTAAAGCAAGAGTCAATTTGGGGGGGGTGGGGTGGGGGTGCCATTAACTCATTTGGTTTTGTTCCTAGAGTCTCAGTTCAGATGTTCTGAGAATTCCTTTTTGTTTTTGGACAAGCTGAACCAGTTCTTGATGTACAAGATAATCTTGATGGTGACAATTTAATACAATTTTCTCTTATATGTTTTAATTATATTACTATGAAATTTGCATGATTATTGAAGCACAACAAACATTTAGTCACAACAATACAACAAATGGATCACACCGTACACCAAACACAAACAAGATTGAAAATTTTCAAAAAAGTCTCTCAACGCAAGCTTCATATGGGACAGTCCCAACCATCAAAATGCCAATTCCAGAAAATTCCATAAGCAACCCAGTGGAAATGATGGACAGACCATTGAAATGTTAGAAACAAGGATCTTGTTTGGTGTAGGTATAGTCACGTGTTCACTAACGTTGGTTTTTTTTTTAAAAAAAGGTCAGTCAGTAAAGAGTCTGAAGAGGCACAATGTGTGCCAATGGTTAATGCCACCACTCACCTCCTCACCCCCTTTCAAAGAGATAAAGGGAGCTCTGATGTTCAGCTGTTTTAAAGAAAGGTGGTTTCTGGTGTTAGCGAGAGATTACAGGGGAGAGTAGGAATGGGATGAGGGAAGCAATAACATAAACTGATCGATTAATCTCTGGGCCTTTGCTTTTTTCCATCCGGATGGAAAAGAGCACAGAATGCTACTGGTCAGCATTTGGAATGGATTGAGGCTGTGGTTTGTTTGAGGAGGAGCAGAGCTCTCATGGGGTTGCCCTGGCTGCTGGCACTAAAAAGGCTGGCGTCCCGGGACGCATGGTTTACAGTGGCAAACCTAAAATCCATCAGCTTATTAGTGTATTGAAGGCAATGGGCATACAGTATACTGTGCAACTATCGTGCCCAACCTTGTATTTGAAATGCGAGACAGGCAGGGGTGCATGGCAAGGCATCAATTGACCCTTTCCTCCAAACAAAAAAACAAAAAGGAAACAAAAAACAAATTCAAATAGCCAGAATTTGAGTGGCCACACCATCTTTATCTAATCATTTCTGCATATCAGGTATGGCATTAAGCGCCAAATATCTGCAAAAGCACGACCCTCTGCCAAGACTGTTTTCGTTGTATTTCTCTTCCATGTGGCTGAGGCGACAGTGAAGACAATTGTTTTAAGGTGGAATCTTTACCTGTGTAAAGAATCTTAGAGGAGGAATGGGACTTTGAAACAAGTGCATACTCCATGGACTCTTAACACAAACTGGTTTTTAAAAAAAAGAGAAAAAAAAAGGGCTGATGTCATGTGGCCCCAAAGAATACCATTCAGCAAGATGTTAAGTCAAAAGTGCAGAATGAACCATATCTAGTGTCAATGAAGCTCTAGGATTAGGATTAGGATTAAAAAGCTTGTTCTGCTATTCTCAGTCTTTTATCAGTTTAAACTGGGACACAACAAAGTGAGATTAACTACAGAGAGGAAGAGAGAGAAAGAGATTCCACCTTAAAACAAAATTGTTTGGCTGCTGACAACCGCCTTCATGACCACTGGTGTCTTTGGCATGGGTGGGGGGAGAAGGGGGCATCAGTGACTCAGTCTGCTCACTCAAACGCGATCAGCCACTCCTGATGCTACCATCACCAGTTCTCCTCCTGCGAGCCAAGATGGCCTCCTTGGATACCTTCTTACAGTTACTGGCCAGTCCAAGCCAACACACTGCATCGATGAAGCAGGTGGTGATGTTCCCTCGCCAGCCGTACTCACTGGTTGAGTAGTCGTACGGGAACGTGTGGTGGTAGTTGTGGAACCCTTCACCTGTGGCAAGACATGAGGAAAGAGAAAATAAACCAGTCCAGAAACAAATGAATGACATCATTTACATTAAAACAAAAAAAAAAACAGCTGCTCTTCAATATCTCCGAATCAGCTTGGTTGCTTGATTATTCCAGCACACACTGTCATCACTTCAATCTTCCACTTCGCATAGACTTGAGTTAATCTGATCCTGTGGTGCCACACCCTGATTTGTTCCAGCCCTCATTCACCCATCAGCCCTGTACTCACTGACCTACACTGGCAACTGCTCCATTTTAAATTTCTACTCCTCGATTACAAATTCTGCATGGCCTTGCTTTACCATATTACTAGCCTTTTACAGTCCCTATAACCCTTTTTGAGATCTTCGCCCCTGTTCTGGCCTGCTATGCATTCCTGGCTTCCATTGCGCCATTATTTTGCATGGCTCCAGAAGTTCACACTTAAAAGATAACCTGTAAAATCCATCTGGTGACAGGGTCTTTTGGTCACATGCCCTAACATCTGTTGGGTTCAGTGTCAAACTGAACAAACGACTCTCCCAAGAAATGTCTCATCTTACAAGGAGCAAATTCTGTACAAATCCAAAGCTGTTGTAAAGAGGAGAAAGCTTTGCCTTCACTTAGCACCGCTCAAGAATTTAAGGTTGGGTCAACTCTGTGCCACTTTGTTTATTCACTAATCCACTGGCTCAATTGGTTTCTCAGGAGAAGTCTCAAGATGAGATGTAACTGACAAGATTAAGAACAAAACTTTGATTTCTACAGCAACAAAAACAGAAGTTGCTGGAAAAACTCAGCAGGTCTGGCAGCATCCGTGAAGGGAAATCAGAGTTAACGTTTCAGGTCTGGTGACCCTTCCTCAGAACTGGATTTCTATGGCAGCAGTCACATCTTCGTGACATCTCAAAATGCTTCACAGTGAAGCAACTACATTGTGAATTCCAGTCTATTATAATGTAGAAACTGTGGCTGTAACTTTACACAAATTAATGTGATAACAAGCAGATAACCCACTTTAATGTTGGTGTTTTGAGGGATAAAGTTATTGGTCAGGACAACCTCCCTTGCTGGACTTCATCACACCATTGAATCTTTCGCATCCAGTCAAGAGGGGTAGAGTTTGACTGCTCATCTGAAAGATGGCACCTCAGATGGTGTAGCCCTCCCCCAGTACCACCTCGTAACCAAATCTGAACTGGAGGACAGACCTTGTTTGCAGAAAGTTCCTTCCGTAAAAAGAGAGAAAAAAAAAATGCAGTGACTGGGAAAGTTAAATTTAACCTTCAAACATTGAATGGCCAATGAACAGTGCTTAATCAAAGAGGTTCTCACACTAAGAGATCTTAGGTCAAGTTGCCAACCTGCTGCTCTTAATTGGAGGAAGTATTTTGCGAGGTGGCCCCCCAGGATCCCTGAAAAACATGAGCAACTTGTGTGTAGACATGAGCTTGGTAAAGTTGCTTGGGGCAACTCCACAGCATGATTATTGGTACTCATCAGGGAATTCCATTTTGCATAGATTCAGGCAATATCTCCCTCACTGCTCATACAGTGTAAAATCCTGTCAGTTGTGTCTTGGTTAACAAATCTAAAGCTTGGCTTTAGAATAAACGAGATTCAGCTAACTGAAGGGTAAACAAGATGAAATGGCTCAGTGCTGGCCTAACCTTCAGTACAATTCATTTCAAATTCATGGTCAATGGGCCCATGGTTAATAATTCCCTAATTCAGATATTTTAACTGGGCTATTAACTGTGTGAAGGATTATGTTCCCTACTGACAAGGCCAATGACTTGACATTATTTGACACTTAATGTTTGATGAATGAACCAAGTCCTATAATCTTCCAATTCTGGTCTCTTCTGCACTCCCAGCTTTAATAGTAACCATTGGTGGCCTATCCATGGGCCAACTAGGCCCCAGGCTCTGAATTCTCTCCAATTACCCCATCTCTGCCTGTCAAACAAAAAAGTCTTTAAAACTGACAGCTATTACTAAGCTTTTGATTTTCTGGCCCAATATCTCAACAGGACTCAGTCAAATTATACTTCTGTGAAGCACCTTAAATGTAGTCAAACATACTATACCCCAAGGGTGTGATGTATATGCAAATGATTTTTTAATAAGATGGGGCAGGGGGAGAGGGAGGTGGCGGCCAGGGAAGGAGAGAAGGGCAGCCATAGCCCACAGGCTGGAGCACCCAATTAAAGAGGAAAACCTAATTAAATAATCACATCATATAAAAGCAAAAAAAAAAAAGACTCGAAATGTTTACTGTTTCTCTCTCCATAAATGCTTCCAGACCTACTGAGTTTCCCCAGCATTTTCTGTATTTGTTCCAAGCAATAAAAGCAGATTGTATCTTCTACCCCATGGTCAGGAACAACAGCTCAGATTAGGCAGGTGTTGGGGAAATATTAGTTCCTTCAAGTAACAAAAGCCAAAGTCAGGGGAAGAAAAAAAGCCAAGATGCAACAACATTAATGTTCTGGAAATTTGCTGGGTTGCTTCAGGGACAAAGGGAATATTTACTTTGAACTTTCCATGGGGAATTGCGACAGGTGGAGAAGAAAGCTTTAGAGAAGATACATAGACTGGGGAATGGAGGTTGAACAACAAAATGGTTGTCTCACATTCCATTTTCTCCCTGTATTTTGAGTAGCTTTGATTATTGGGTCATGAAGTCTGAGTAGCTTTTCCCTGGTCCCTGTTCAAAGCAGGTGGCAGCAAGATTTGAACAGTCTCGGATAAGTTAACTTTCATTAACATCACGAGTCCAAAAGAAAACAAAAATTCTGGAAACCCACAGCAGCAGGTCTGGTGAGAGAGAGGAAATAAAGTGACATTTCAAGTTGACCACTTCTGGTTAGTTCTGAAATATCAGCTCACACCTCCCTCTCAACAGGGGCTGCTGAACGTTTTACATTTTTTTTTGGAATTCCAATAATCACAGCTTTTTCAGCATTAATCAAAGATGAGGAACTTTTTACCTTGACCACACAGAGTGAAGGACAACGTGGAATCAGCTGCCTGTCTTGTCAGGCATTGCTGATGAAGCAGGCACTGCAGAGGCCTAGGGAAAGGCAGCCTGCCTGTCGGAATCAATGCACAGTTGGCTCACTGTTGCAATGCTTTCTTCTGCGTATTGTCAACTCATTCAAACTGCTAACCATAATGGAACACGCATCAAGTCTGTCAACCCTATGCTCACTGACCTACAATGGCTGCCAAGCCTACCACTTAGATTTTAAAGCACTCATTTTCGCTTTCAAATCCCTCCAAGGCTTCACTCACCCCTCTGTCATCTCTTCCAACCTTAAATCTCTGGATCCTTCTGATTCTGGCCTCTTTACTCACAGCCCATTTTCTTCATCTTCAGTGCCTGGGCCCCAAGTTCTGAATATCACAAAGTGGAAGGAATTTCAAAGACCTAACTCTAACCACCTTCTCCCCACAGATTGCACATATGTTGTCAGATAGACATCAACACCGAGAGGTACCTTGGGATTTGCTTTGTTAAAGATGCCAGATAAATATAGGTTTTTGGTGGACTGGCAATGAGGGGGCATTGTTGGAATATGATGGCTGAATTTCAGCATGAATGCAAATGCACTCTGTTCAGAGCTGAAGAAGCCTCCACTAATCTGGAAACTTTGGCACTGCATTCTCAAAACAAAACAGATATATTATAGAAACAGAAGACAGACTTGCAGTTATAAAGTACCTTTCACAGCCACCTGACAACCCAAAAGCACCATATGATCAATCAGGAGTCTTTTGAAAGATGAGCCATGTAGGAAACTCAGCAGGCAATTTACACACAGCAAGCTCCCAAAAACCGTTGTGAATAACAGCAAAGTAGTCTATCACGTGATGCTGATCAAGGGATAAGTATGGGCTGTGACAGTTTTTATTCTTTCATGGAATATGGGGCATCACTGGCAAGGCCAACATTTGTTGCTCAGCTTTTATTTTAAAAATTCATTCACGGGATGAGGGCATCGCTGGATGGGCAGCATTTATTTCCTATTCCTAATTGCCCAGAGGGCAGTTCAGAGTCAACCACATTACTGTGGTTCTGGAGTCATACGTAGGCCAGACCAGGTAAGGATGGCAGTTTCCTTCCCGAAAGGACATTCAGTGCCCTTGAACTGTCTGTGTGGCTTGCTGGGCATTTCATAAGAGTCAATCATATTGCTGTGGATCTGGGAATCACATGCAAGTCAGATTGGCGAACAATTTAGCTCCCTAAAAAGAAGCAAGCCAGATGCAACAATCGAGCACAATTTCATGGTCATCATTGCCACAACTGGCTTTATAAATTGTATAATAAATTACACCAACTTCTGTAGTGGAGTTTGAAGAGCATTTGCCTGGGCCTCTGGATTACTAGCCCAGTGACACTGATTGGGACCTTGAGAGGGTGACAGCAGCAATCTGAACTGGGTCACCAAAAAAAAAATCTCATTCTTTCTCAAACAGTATCGTGGGATTTTAAGTATCCATCTGAAAGGGTAGGTAGAGTCTCAGTTTAAATATCTAATTCAACAGTTGGCACCTCCGATAGTGGCATTGTACTTCACTGAAGGGCTGGCCTAGATGATTGCGCCCAAGTCTTCGAAGGAGGACTTGAGCTCTCAACCTCCAAAATGTGGGAAGGGAGGGTGCCACCAAGCCACAGCTGACCGAATATGATCAGTTACCTTCAAAGAGATAGTCAACACAACGCCAGGCTTAAAATCAAGATGCTCACCGATTGCACCGAACGCAACAAATCGATTCTCGCGGGGGTTAATCCATCGGTCATAGGGCCGGTTCCCGAACATGTGGGCTGCGCTGTTTACCAGCCAAGTGGCATTCAACACCAACGTGTACCGCAGGATGGCAGCAACGAAGTATGCGTTCCAGAGCGATTCGCCCCAGAAATACCAAGGAACCACCGTGGGGATGAAGAAGCACATTAGCACCACGGAGGGCTTATAATATCTGAAAGAAAAGGGGAAGGGCCACTGGTTACAAAGAAAAGGTAAAGTAGGTTAATAGATCTAAGTCAATTATCAGCTGGCAGTGCCATAGCTGTGGGGTATGACCAGACTTCTCCACAGTCAAAGTTGACCCCTGCCCATTCAGCCAAATCACCGAGATCTTATGATAAGGAAAGGCCATTCGGCACACCAAGTCAATGGCAACATCCATTCCTATGTGGGTAAACAACCCCAATCACATTTTCCCCATGCTGGTTTCCAAATTCCTTTGTATCCATTACCCAATTTAGCCTTGAACATTGACAATTCCCATCTTAAGCACGAACCCTTGAAGTGGATTCCACTGCATTTCAATTCTGCATTCCAAAGATTCCCTACCATTCTGTTTTCCAACACTTCAACTCGCATTAACCCGCTTCATAATTCCCAGTTCTTCCCACCTCTCTGAGCAAAGTGCGGGAAGCCCAGAGGTCTCCTATCATCTCTCTCCAATCACAGACTCTAATCTCATGCTAGAAGTTCCGGTGGGTCAATGGGTAGCGCTCTCACTTCTGAATCAGTTCAGCTTTAGGTTCAAGTCCCATTGCAACAACTCAAGCCTATAACTGGACACCTAAAAGGAGTGCTACACTTTGAGATGCTGATGCAAACAGAAAAACACTAAACAGAGATCCTGACTGCCTGAAGGCAAATGTCAATATTCCCTGGGCATTTCTTGAAAGAAGAGCAGTAGTTCTGGCTTAATACTTTTAATCTCTGGATTAAGTGCTCAAAGCAGATTACCTGATTGGTACCACTTCGCTGTCCATGGGATCTAGTTGAAAGTGAGAAGGGAAGCTGAAGCATCCATACAAAGCCAGGTTCCAAGATCACAAGCTTGCTTAGGAACACCGGACAGGAAAAAGCAGAAGCAGCCCAAAAAAGGGAAGGAAGATGGGCAGGATGGCGGTGGGAGGATCTCTAGAATAGGCTAGCCTCCTTTACACAGGCACCAAGGTGGTTGGCATAACTGCCTGACCTAGGCTAGGGGAAAAGAGGCCAGCTGAGGCCTAGACCAGCTGACATATCCAGGGGAGCAGCTACCGGAGTTCACATCACAAAACCCAGAGGCAAAGCTCTGCTCCATACCCGTTTCAATGTTCATCTCACACAGTGACAGGAGTGAATCACAGCCTTTGCTAATTTCTAAAAACTAGGAACATGATTTATTGACCCCAGAGGTGTAATTAATTCCTGAGGCTCAAGTTAGGCACTTGGACCACCTTGGGACAAAAACTGCTGGGAAGTAGGTCTAAAGAGCAGTGAAGAAAATAGCACTCACTCCAACACATCAATTTTTAACTCCGCTACACCCTATTTCACCAGATGGTTAAATTGTTTCTCCTCTTCCATGTCCTTGAAAACACCAAGTCAGTCAGGTCCAGCAGCAGGACTAATCAGGGGCACCTCTGCAGCATTGAATGTGCTACTTTGAACCCCTTAACTTAAACAGCTAATTGCACCTTTTAATAGCAGAGCACCACTTGAGTGTAGATACTGTGCACAATCTGGAAGAGCAGGGATCACTCTAAGCCACAGAGATGCAATGTTCATCTTCAGGGCAAGGGATTATTCCTGATAGGTGTACCATTGGTACAAGATTCTCTTCCATGCTGATGACAGTTTAAATCCAACTCAAATTAATGCGATTAAAGTTATCTCCTTTGACATGACTGAGCCAGGGTACATTACCATAGGCACAATCCCATAAACCTTTGGAGTGTGGACATTTCACCCAGAGACTACAAGCTTGACTGGAATACTACAAATCACACAAAGCCATTTTCGTTAGGAGATTCCTCACTGCTACAATGGAGCTAAACATTTGAAGCAAATCAGGTTGAAGCTGGGATCAAATCAGAGGTGTATGTGTGCAGACTCCAAAGACATGTATTAAGCATTGCCTCCAACTCCATTCTCATCTGACAGCCATTGGGAATAGGTACAGGATGCAGGAATGCTCCCAGTTAGTGAATGTGCCATAAACAAACCAGAAAGCAGTTAATGAGATAATGATGCTTTATTTAAATTCCATACCCAACCGAGGAATGTTTGACTGGCCTGCACAGGAGGAAGCTTTATTTTGTATCCTGTCTAGATTAGACTTGACCCAAGGGCATTTGACTAGAGTCACATTCTGGGCTGCTATGTTTAATCAGCTAGAATAGTGCTGTTCTCTATTCTTCCATGGAAGATGGGCATCACTGGAAAGACCAGCATTTGTTGCTCATCTTTAATTGCCCTTGAACCAAGTGACTTATTTGACTTTTAAGTGCCCTCTGACTTGACCAATCACATCAAGGTGGGTATGGAGCAGAAGACAGATTTCCTGCCCTTATGGGCAGTAGTGAACCAGATCGATTTTTAATGACAAATGATTGTTGTCACAGTCACCAGCTTGACATTCCAGAGTTTTTTTTTAAGAAACTGAATCCAAACTCCAATAGCACCATTATGGAATATGAACGTATATATTACTCGTCCAATGATATACCACCATCTCCCCATTCTCAAAACATCAACATACAAACACTCAGCTTCTCCAGTCTTTCACCATTTCTGATCATGGCAAATCTGGAGTGGGCTCAATCCCACTTTCCTGCCTATACTTTATGACGGGTGACTTATCTATCAAGAATCCACCAACCCTATCTCAAAAGTATTCCACAAGCTTTACATATTTGAGGAAATCTTCTACAAAGTAATGGAACTTCAGAAAACATTTCACCTCATCTCCCACTTAAAATGGGAGATTGCTTTTTCATACAAAGTGCCCCCAAAACTGGATTTAAATATTTTAATTATTCCAATTGTCAATAGTGAAGAATGCAAACAAATTGTCTCAAAGCACCCCAGAATAGTCAAAAAGCTGACAGCAAAGGGTGGACATTAATGTTTCCTTCTCCTACACACTCTCCTCTCCCACCACTCCCCACGCACACCCCCGTCTATGGTTGCATCACACACACATCCCTCGGCAAACAATCACAAAGAAAAATTAAGTGACGGCTCATGGGAGCTTATTTTCACAATTAAGCTCATTCCTTGCATAATAGGTGTCCACACTTCAGAAGAAATGCATTGGTCGCAAAGGCTGTAGTACATCACTAGAAAGGCACTACATGAATACAGGTTCTCTCTCTCTCGGGAAGGTGTACACTTGAGTAAATCCAGCATCCACCTTACCAATTCTTTATATGCAAACTGACATTCTTCAGGCCAACGGTTAACTGATCACCGATTGATATGATTGAGGTATACAAAATTGAGAGGGGTAGAGAGATAGACAGGAGGAACCGGTTTCTTTTAGCAGAGAGTTCAAAAGAAAGGGACACAGATTCAAGCTAGGTGGTAGAAGAATGAGAAATGCGAGGAAAAACAAACTTTAAAAAAAAAAAAACACACGGGTTGGTGGGTGTCTGGAATTCACTGCTTGAGTTGGTGGTGGCAGCAGCAAAAACCCTAAATCTTTATGAAGTACCTGGACCCGCACCTTAAGTGCTGTAAGCTGCAGGGCTATGGGCTGTGTCCAGGAAGATGGGATTACAAAAAGGGCATCTGAATGTCCAAGACACAGCGGGCTGAACAGCCCCCTTCTTTGCTGTATCATTTCTATGGTTCTAAGACACGTACTTATGATTGAGTTACATGCATTTCCTTCCAGTAGCAGTCACTGAGTAGTAATCACTATTAGGAAACACCCTCCCTCCAGTTGAGATATGGGGGTGAACAATTCCCTGGCTAAGGTCAACTTTTTAAAAAAAAATTCATTGCTGGCCAGCATTTATTGCCGCCCCTAGAAGCCCTTGAGAAGGTGATGGTGAGCTGTTTCTTGAACTGTCGCAGTCCACCTGTGGGTTGACCTACAATGCCCTTATGGCTGACTCAAAGGTCAGTTATCCAGTCTTGGACAAAGTTTATGGATATTCAGCCCTTCAACTTAATCCAAGAAGTATGGGACTCTGATTAACATTTAACCACTATGCTTCTTTTGAGTCAGTGGGATTTAATCACTAGTCCCACAATCACCAATATTTTGCATGCTGTCTACCTCAGGTACGAGCAAATGTAGGCTGGCACTCACTTGGAACCTGTCTGAACCTGACCAAATTCAATGTCCAGAAGATCCCAGTGTCCTAACATGCTAACAGGCAAAAGTACTAACTTTTTCTGAAACATGACAACAGGGTCTGCCTTCAGGTCACTGAGGTCCAGCTTACTCCCCTTCTCGATCACATCTGGATGCTTCCGGACCATCAGCCAGCCGACATGCGAGAAGAAAAAGCCACGCGTGGCGTTGTGAGGGTCAGCGTCTGTTTCGGAGAATTTGTGATGTACTCTATGGTCCCGAGCCCATTCATAAATATGATTCTACAAAAGGAAGAGACAGCGTTACAAAGAGTCAATAATTGCAGTCTTGGGGGTTGGGCAGTCTCCTAGCTCCACCCCTCCCTATTCCTATTGCACCATCCACCATTCCCACGTCCAGTGGATCTTTCTTCCTGACCCATATAAGCTGGAAGGGGATAACAGCATGAAAGACCATTAGATACAAGTGAAGTAGGCCATTTGGCCAGAGTCTGCTCCACCATTCAATGGGATCATGGCTGACATAATAACCCTCAACTCCACTTTCCTGCCTTTTCCCCATAACACTTTTGTTTAAAAGTTGGTTGATCTCAGCCTTGCTATCAAGGCAGCACACTAACTGTGGGGTAAAAGCACTGTAATAAATGCAGATTGTTTAGAAACGCACTCTTCCAGTTCCAGGGACTGAGCATAAACCAAGGCAGCCGGGCAGAAGGGCCACAGTCTCAGACAGACTTTGGGCAGTCTCCAACCATGCTCCAAGTGCACACTGGATTTAATTTGACATCTGAGGCAGAGGCATTTAGAAATCTGCAGGCTAATCCGAATGATACTCTGGTGGGGTAGGGGACAATGAGGTTGTGAAGCACATCAGGGTCAGGTATAGGCGAGGAGGTCAAACTATCTCTGTGCACACAGACCAACTCCATTCACACATTTATTTTTCTGGAATAAAAACAAGTTGCTTGAGAAACTCGGCAGTTTTAGTAGCAACTGCAGAGAAAGAAGAACAAAGTTAACGTTGAGAGTCCAGTGACCCTTCTTCTGAACAGAGTTCTTAAGATGCTGCCAAACCTGCCAAGTTTCTCTAACTATTTCTGTTATTGTTTAAAATTTTCAGCACCAATAGTTCTTGTTATTTTTAAATTTGCAATTCCCTGTTTAAATTTTGTGGGCCACTGTTCATTTTAAATAACACCCTCATCTGACTGGAGACTAACTCTTGAAGCAGCTCACACGGATGTGTTAATGTCAGTGATTCAAGATTTACACTGACTAATGGACACACATGGCTCCCAACACGACAGGGCACAGTCCTGAGGTTCAATATTGAATAGACAGCATCAGGCGCTCTATGCTGCCCTGGAGATCAATGCCAGCAAGGTATACACTTCATGGGGTTGGCAACAGTCTGTACCAACAACCTGCTTCAACTTTAATCTTGGGTGAACCACAAGATACAGGAGCAGAATTAGGTCAGTTGGCCCATCGAATCTGCTTTGCTGTTTAAACATGGCCGACATGTTTCTCAAACCCATTCGGCTGCCTTGTCCCTGTAATCTTTGATCCATTACTGTCTTAAATACAATGACTTGGCTGCCATAACCTTCTGTTGCAGTGGGTTCCACAGATTCTCCACTCGCTGGCTGAAGAAATTCCTCATCTCAGTTCTAAAGAAGTGTGCCTTCACTGAGGCTGCACCCTTGGGTTCGAGTCTCTCCGAATCTTGGAAACATCTTCTCTACTTCCATTCTATCCAAGCCTCTCAGTTTTCTGCAAATTTCAATGAGATTCCCCACCCTTCTAAACTCCAAGTACAGATCAAAATCCTCAACTGCTCTTCATAAGACAAGCCCTTCATCCCAAGGATCATTCTCATGAACCTCTTCTGAACCATCCAAAGCCAGCACATCCTTTCTTAAAGATCAGGTCCAATATTCCAAATGCAGCCTGACCATAGCCTTATACAATCTCAGCAATACATTTCTGTTGTATTCTAGCCCTCTTGAAACGAATGCTAACGTATTTGCCTTCCTAACTGCTAGCTGAACCTGCATGTTAACCTCAAGAGAATTCTGAATCAGGAACTGTGATTTGTTCCATTTTCCACCTCCACAGCCTGTGGGAGCTAACTGTCACTTTATACCAGCTTTAGTTTTCTATGCACATTCAAATCCACTAGTTTGTCAAAACCACAGACTCAATTAAGTAGGAGTTGACAGTGAGCACAGGATACATCTATCCAGTGTTCCTATCCACTACTCTTCCTGTAGGTTCAATTTGGTAAATGCAACAGTATGCCAGACATAACATTGCCCCTTTTTCTAATACAAGATGTTTTTATAAATAAAAACAATGTTATGTCTATGGCATACTATTGTATTTACTAGCTGTATACAGCTACACATTTAATATATTTACATAAACTTAGAAGACACCGTCTTTCCATGCAAGGATACTGCATACACTATACCTTTTATTACAGGATTATAGTAATTTGTAATCTGTTATACAGAACAGTACAGGGTATTGTACAAGATGGAGGTATCCTATAATTTGAATACATGATCCCAGACAACTGTACAGCATGTCCTGTTATAGTACACCATGTACAGGTTTTACAGGCAATACACGATCTTTTGTATATTTTTCAGGGAAACTGATCTAGAACTGGGCATGCTGCACCATGCTGAGAACCTGAAACACAAGATTAGAGCAGATGCCGCAATGGTCAGTCAAGAACTTGGCCAAGTTACGTGGGACAGACCTCTTCCAGACTGAAAACATCTGTAGATTTCTTTATGCACACATTGCAGACTTGAGATATGCTGTTTTATATACTCAGTATATGTCAAATAGTGGTCTCAGACAGGGCTTGTTTTGAGAGAACTGTTGGGTAGGAGGGTCCACATGTACCCTGCTAATAACCATACAGGATGTCAAATTAATATTGCCTTAGCCATTTTAGAAACCTTGCTGTGGACCAGATAAAGACCTGCACTCAAAGAATGCTGGGCCCAGTTAAGAGAAATGTGCACTTGGTTGGGGTATCCACATGTCAACTCTGCCACTAAGCCTCACAAGCACCTTAACACCGTGTTCACGGAGGACAACTTGCAGTCACATAGCACCTTTTAAAGGCAGCATAATGTCCCAAGGCACTGTGTACAAAGGGATATGGGGCACAGAGAAGAACAAATGCTTCCCTTTAGTTGGGGGAAATCAAGAGCCTAGCAGGGGCTTTGGGGGGCATAGATTTAAAGTAAAGAGCAGATGGTTTACAGAGGATTTAGGGAAGAATAGTTTTCACCCAGAGGGTAGTGGCTACCTGGAAACCACTGCCTGAAAAGTGCGATAGAGGTGAGAACCATCACAACATTTAAGAATATTTAGACGATCACTTGAAATGCCATAGTATACAACACTCAGGGCTAAGTGTCAGACAGGTCCTTAATGACCAGTGCAGACATAGGGACTGAAAGTCCTCTTTGCACACTGTAAAACTATCTCATGGAAGCAAAATCCAAATAATGAGATGAGATATTTTAAAAAGGTGACCAGAAGCTTCTGAAGAGACAGAGGGGTGTTTTAAAAGAAGCAACTCCAACCAAAGGGAGGTAATTACAGAGCATTGGGTTCTGGATGGCGTGACCACATACAGCAGAGTACAAAAGGTCAGGATTAGAGTGTCACTAAGGGCCAACAGGTTTGTCAAAATTTATAGGGAGGTTAAGAGCGTAGAGGAGTTTGGAAACAATGGGGAGCTTTCCTTGAAAGTCAAGGTGTTACTATGGAGTAACAAACTATTGCTGGTATTGGTGCAGAAGTCAGATTTATAGAATACAATGAATAAGAGTCTGCATGTATCTTTGAATGTATACACTGGAAGGCAGTTAGCTATCACTTAATACTTTCTTCAAATGGGTTGGAAATGACTACTAAACAGCAGACACAAATTTGGGAATCAAATACTGTTGTAAATATCACTCCCCTTTCACTGAGATTACACTACAGGAAAAACAACTGGGAGGGACAGGGAAGACAAATTCTGAGGCAGACACATACCACAGCCCGTTTGCCCCTTCCAATTTTTTTTAAAAAAGGGCATTAACATACTCTAACAACCATCCCCCCCCCGATCCTGGGAACCTGCAGATTGATCCGTCCCCCGCCTCCACAAGACTCTTTCTTTCACCCCCTTACGGTTTTATCTTTACCTGGAAAGCCATTGAGTTTGCAACGGCCAGGAACGCCCTGAGCGGCGTGGTTGCTGTGTAAGACCGGTGACTCCATAATCGGTGAGCACCCGCTGTCACCCCAAGGGCACTGAACAAAAAGCAAGAGGCGGCTGTAAAAAGGAATAAAACAGACAGAGTCATTTTTTAAAACACACAGACTACAACACAGCCGTCCAAGGTCTGGCACAAACATCCATTTTGTGCCTGCAGCCCATTCCCACCCCTTTTAAAAGAGGGTGTTGGGGGGGGGGGGGGGGAGGAAGAGAGAGAGAGAGAGAGAGAAAACAAAAGGCACGTTGAGAGACTCGAAAATACGCAGCAAAAATACAGAAAACGTGCGCCATTCAGAAATCAAGACACAGGTCCAATTAAATCCAGCTGTTTTAACCAGGTTCATTTCCACGCCACCATATTCAATATGAAGAGTTATCGCTGCATTCTAACGCATTTCTTTCAAACCAGAGCTGACATTGATCTGAATGGTTAAAAAAAAATGCAGTTGCATTTATTTGTTGAAAAAAATGAAGTTGCAATTAATACATTGCATTTAGCAATAGATTTAAAATATGGATAGATTGCGCTTATTTTCTTTTCAGCCAACTACCCTTAAATATAATTGCATTTGGGTTTTTCTTTAAAAATGCAAGTTATTAATTGGAGAGGTAGGTAGTCATACCCCATAGCCAGGTTAGCGGTTTCGCGAAAGGCACCAGAACGAAGGAGTAGAGAGCAGCGAGATGCAGAGCCCCCATCAGGATGATGTTCCGCCACACCAGCTTCATAGCCGGCTTGGCTCCTTGCTTCTCCCTGTAGGTGGTGTCGAAGGAATCATCCACCGGCCGGTCGTCCACGAACTCCGGCGAGGTCGCAGGCTCGGCGCTGGCGCTGCTCATGTTGCAGAGAGAAGGGAGGATGGAAGGAAGGAAGCAAGCTGCAGATCCCGAGATTTATTTCCCTTCTCTTTTTTTCCCACCTCCTCCACGTTGGTTTGCTGCAATGCTCTCTGGCTGTTGCCGGTGAAGAAAGTCAGTGTCGGTTTGGAGGAGGGGGAGGGGAGATGAAGGGGGGTGGGTAAAAAAGAAAGCAGATGATCAATAAAGCAGCTGGCTCCTAATTTTCGGAAGACAGATCTGCACTGCATTCATTGGTCCGGCTAGCTTTGGTGCCACCACACTCCAGCTCTGATTGGTTCGACATTGGTGGCATGTTATGCTTGCAACACTCTCACACATGCAATTACACTTGTAATGTATGCGCAACGCAAAGCAATTTCTACAGCCCACAAGGGGAGGGGGGGCTGTGGAAAGGTTCGCCCCCTTCTCAATTCATGTCTGTTTTTTTTATTATAGTGGCTTATATCCAGTACAGAAACACAGGGGGGGTTGATATTTTGAAGAGAACTATGCACACATGTCTACTGCCCCCTTTCTGTCATTTATCTTTGCTGTAAGGCAACTATACTTCCAGGTATGTAATATCTCGTTACAGTACCTCAACCATCGGAGTCAATGGCCTGTAGTAACCCAAGGAAAATGTAGGTCATTGTGCCAGGATCTCTTGCAGGTCCTAGTGCTCACCCTTCAGATTATAGTCATTTTAAGCTGCATTTTCGTTTTTACTTCCCTATCTACATTTTGTTTTAAAAATTTATTTCACCCCCTTCCCGGAATTCAGGTTATGCAAATACCCAGGATAAAATGAAATCACGATTTATGATTTTTAAAGGGTGTTTAAAATCACAAGATACTTTTACTCTGCACAGGCACGCTTTTGAAGAACTCTGCACTTTCAGTTTTTTTTTAGAAAAATCAACACGCCCAGCTCTCAGATTCATTAAATATCAACTAACTGCAGGCGGAAACAGTTATCTGCGGTTTGGTGGATTATAAGAAGTAAATTGTCTGGGGAAACAACATATATATATAAACTCTGATGTTTAACAACGAGGTTAATCGCTCAGCGCTGCTGTTGGATGCATCAAACATGAATTAATATGGCTTAAAGCACATCATAAATTTAAAGAATGAACCTTAATCCCCCCAAACTGTTCACTAAATTGCAACCAATGTCCAGCATCTGGTTCTAATGTGGTCACATCACGCTGGAAGGGAGGCGGGAGCGAAATGTCCTCCCGTTCACTTTGATCTTTGTAATCAAAAGCCATATTGTGCGCCCTGAGTCCTACATGTTTGCTACTTGGCTGATGGCCCAATTCCAGCTTGTCCGATAGTAACCCTCTGCATTCCTCCGTCACAAGATCATCTGGGGCGGGACTTCCTGCAACATGAGGTGAGTACAGAGAGAGAGGCAATTTGACAATTGTCACGTCGCGCTTTTGGCTCTCTGAATCTCCCCAACCCCGACCCATGTTGTCCATGTACTCAATATGTTTTAAACAAACCCCCAGGATTTAAGGGCAGTTACTGCCTCGCTGTTTTATGAGATAAACCCCAACCTTACCATTACCTGCAGTGTTGACGGGACTCTTGTTATCCCTGGAAAATTTTGGTTATGTAATCCCCAGGAGGACAAAGGAAGCAGGTTGTTTGTTGGAACCAGTATGTGTGCCTGTGACCGAGATACGCGGTCTAAAAACAATTCTGGAAAAAATACAGAGGAATTGTAAACAATGATGATTTGCATTTATTTAACGTTTTTCTGGCGCTGCACGGGAAAACTATCCAGTATTTGACACCAGAACCCCTACCGATATCATCCCAGATCAGACCACATGTAACGATCTGGCCCGGAACTAGTAGAAAAACTATTTTTCAAATAGACAAAGAGGTGAGATCCAGGCGACTTACTAAATCAACGTGGGAAGGCAATGATTTAGTGGTATTATCACTGGACTATTAACTTTCTCTAGACCTGAGTTTGTATCCTGCCATACAGATCGTGTAATTTGAATTCAATAAAAAATCTAGAGTTAAGAGTCGAATGATAACTGTGAAAGGGCTGTCCATTGTCAGGAAAAACCTATATGGTTCATTAATGTTCTTTAGGGAAGAAAATCTGCCATCCTTACTTGGTCTTACCTACACGTGACTGCAGATCTGCAGCAATGTGTTTGACTGTTAACTGCCCTGTGGACATTTAGGGATGGGAAATAAATGCTCATTCGCATTCCACGAATGAGAACAAAACGTTTCCATGGTTTTAAACAAAAATAACAAAAGACTTTACAATACGGCATTAGAGCAGCCAAACAATCTGCAAATCCCATGGATTTGTCAACAATTCCCCTTAGACATTAGTTACACACTAGGTCGTCCAATCTCATTAACCTTTCAAGGGATCAGAATTCTTCACTTTTGCCAATCTGGCTTTGAAACTCCATCTTAAGAGTCAGTCTAGCAAGGACTGTTCTACTGATTGCTCCTGCTCTGGTCAGTCATTCTCCTTTCCAGGGTCTAAGCTCACCTGTGCTCTGAAACTGCAACCCAGTGCTCATTCATAAGCGTAACTCCAGTTCTTCCACCAACAATTAGCCTCAGCCAGCTAGACTGCCCCGGTCCCCTACCCAAGCTCCAAACTTGTTTATTGCATTAAGCAGATATTGCCTGTGAGCTTTTCCACTCCCACTTTCTGAGCTACACTGAGATATGAATGGCATCAGGCTTCTTCTAAGCCCTTCACAGTTTCCACCCACATAGACCCACTTTCTCGGCTTTGCAGAATGTCTTTTGAGTCCTGACTCCAATGCTTAGCTGCCTACTAATTCCCAGAACATCTGCCTGAGTTCTAACGTTGGCAGAGAGCAATCCATCTGTTGTTGACTCCTCACTGAGTTTCAACACAGAATCTGTGTAGTTCCACTGCCTTTCCAGCAATACAACTAACAGCAGAATCTAATCACAGATTGTTGATTCTCATTTTCTGCCTGTGACCTTCGAACACCTCTTTAATGACCTCTGAACTGTCCTGGGTGACCTATTGAAAACATAGCAATAAGCCCCTTCCCTGTTGTTGGGCAGAATTGAATGGTAGTAACATTTTGAAATGGTGAAATGTAGTACCTTTGGAACTGAGTGCATCTTCAAGGACACGTTTTTACAGTTGGCCAAGAATGGATTTCATCATATGAATAATTCATGTCCTGACTCCCAAAGCCTGTTCACTATTGACAAGGCACAAGTTAGAAGTGTGATGGAATACTCATGATTTGCCTTGTTGAGGGCAACTCTAACAATATCGAAGTTTGATTCCATCCAGGACAAAGCAGCCCAATTTTGTTTGGTACCCCATCCAAAAATGATACATCGTCATTTGTGTGTACCATCCACAATCTGTCTACCATCTACAGCAATTCAACAAGGCTCCTTCAAAAGCACCTTATAAACCTGTGACCTCTACGAACTAGAAGGGCCGAGACAGCAAATGTGTGGGAATGCCACCTGCTGCTGGTTCCCCTGCAAGCCACACACCATCCTCATTTTCTTCAATGTTTGGGATATTACATTCCTCCTGCTGAGTGTGCTTTCAACAGAGGTGCATAAAATATGTTAGATGTCAAGTTCAGCATCTTCTCTCAACTCTAGCTGATCCCCTTAATGCCAAAATCAGCAACTTCTCTGCCATATGTAACCAAATAATTAAATGCTAAACTATAATACAGTTGGCATGGGCTGACTGGGTGAGAGTGGGAAGGATTTTTTTAAGGCCTAAATGAGAAAAGGTGGGAAAGAAAGGGATGACTCATTACAGCACCTCATTCTCCACCACAGCATGCTGCACATTCCCTATTACAGAATGCTACATGTCCCACATTACAGTGTCCTACACATTCCCCATTACACAATGCTACATGTTCCACATTATAGCGTGCTATACAATTCCCTTTACAGCACTGACATGTCCCCCATATGCAGCACCCTACACAATCCTCACTATAGAATTCTACAAATTTCCCATGCACCCCTTAAATACAACACTGTATCGTTCTATAGAATCCCCACTTGTACATTTCCAATTGCAGCCTCATATACATTCCCCATTACAGAAGTCTGTACATTTTCCATTACAGCATCCTACACATTCTATATTGCAGAGCCTTACATATTCCCTATTGAGCAGCTTACACATTCTTCTTTACAGCATCCTAAATATTGAATAAAATAACCCAAACATTCCCCATTACAGGATCCTACATATTTCCTATTACAGTTGTCTATACATTCGCCATTACAGTACGCTGAACATTCCCAATGAGCAGCATCTTATGAATAGCATGTGGTTGTTTCTTATAGGTGGCATGATGGCACAATGGTTAGTACCAATGACCCGGCTTTGATTCCAGCCTTGGGAAACTGTCTTGTGTGGAGTTTGCACATTCTCCCTGTGTCTGCGTGGGTTTCTGCTGGGTTCTCTGATTTCCTTCCACGGACCAAGGACGTGCAGGTTAAGTGGAATGATCGTGGTAAATTGCCCTATTGTATCAAGAGATGTGTAGGTGTGTTAGCCATGGTAAGTGTAGGGTTATGGGGATAGGGTGGGATGTTATCGAGAGAGTTGGTGAAGACTCAGGGCTGAATGTTCTCTTTCTGCACTGCAGGGATTCTAAATGATTTCAAACTTTTCTTTCTGATGTAAGCTTTAAAGGTGTCATTTATGAGACTGAACCTGTGCCCTGTTGACATACTCTCAAAATCAATGCAATATCTTGGATAACAAGGTGTAGAGCTGGATGAACACAGCAG